CTGTTAAAAAACACACACACAAAAACCAGGACTATGTTTGCCTGCTGATATACAAACCGAGCTTATCAATATGAAGGTAGATGTAAAAACTCAAACGTTAAAAGGTGGGCTGAGGTATTCTAATGGCAGACAATCCTTAAGCTTCCGTCTCAGGTGAATGCAGTGTGAACAAGCAGACTGGTGGAATCAGTTCCTCCTCACAGGGTAGGGAGGTGGGTGGTGGCACCGGGAGACCCACACGTGCATCGACACCCCTTTTTCCATTCCAGCCTCACCTCGCTCCTTTCCTTCACACACACACACACACACACACTCCCCCTGGCACTGGAGGCCCAGGGACCCAGCGGGCAGTCTCCTAGTCGTTTCACGGAGGCCTGACATGGGACCTGAGTGAGGACTGGGGCTGAATGCCACCTCCCCAGCGCCCAAAGCTCACCTCCAGCTTGTGGTTGATTTGGGACACAGTCTGGACTTTGTGGCAGAGCTGCGCAAAGCAGGAACTCAGGCTGGTCATCTTCTGTCGCCCCTCGTAAGTGATGTCCGCCTGGTCCGGATCGATCTCCCCCAGGAGCAGATCCACATCCACGAAAGCCTTGTCGAACTCCTTCTCCAGCACCTCCAGCCACCGGAACATGGACACCCCACCGGGGGAGACTCCCACGGCGCAAGAGGCGCCCCCGGGTCCCCCTCCGGCTCCAGCCGGGCACGGTCCGCCCGCTGACATGGCGCCGCCGAGGGCCTCCCCCGACTGCTGCTGACCCCAGCCGCCCACCGCGCGCGAGAGGAACTGCTGGGGCCGCGGGGACCCCGCGCGCGCACGCTCCGCCCGTCCCCTCGCGGGGCTAACGCCGGGCCACGCAGCCCCGAGTGGCAAAAGCAAGAGGTTGGGGAAGCGGCGGTGCCCCACGGAAAAATTGGCGCCGGCCCCACGGTCCCCGCCAGCCCGCACGGAAGAATGCGCCGTCCCACGTCCCCGCCAGCCCGGGCTGCGCATGCGTAGGCAGACGCCGCCGGCCGGGCGACGTGGGCGGGACTAGGGTTGACCCTGGCCTATGAAAAGCCTCCGCTGGTGGACCGGCCGCCGGCGGCCATTTTGACTACTGGCAAACTCCGGCCTGAATGCCGGGGAAACGGGCGCATGGTGCTGGCTTCCCAATGGGAAAGGCCCAAGGAAGGGCAGGGTGTCCACGTCTCAGAGAGGACCGGCTTCGGCTGGTGCGACTTCGCAGTGGGCGGGGCCGTTCTGAACATGTCCAGGATAGATGCGGCGGTGACGTCCCGGGGCCGGGAGGTAAGCGAGAAGGAGGGCGCTGTGAGCATGCGCAATGGCCACGTTTTCCCTTTAACAGCCAGTTCCTGTTTAGGGTGCGGTGGCCGGACACACCGGCTCTTCTTGGTAAGGCGGACCCTCAATTCCGGGTGCAAACTGCACGTAGAAGGGCTGCGGCTGGCCGGGACTGGCTGAATGAATACGAGACTTGCCTTGCGATTAAGAGGCGGACTTGGGTTCAAGTCTTAAGCCTTGCCACATAGGAGCTGTGCCATCCTAGTTGTATTCTGACCTCGAAGCCTCAGTTCCCAAAATTTACTTCACTCAGTAACAAGGTAAAATGCTTAGTTTCCGTGCTTGGCACTTGGTATTCCTTATTACTCCACAGGCCATCATTTCCAATGCAACTACTTTTAAAAGTGTATTTATTTCAAAAATTGTGCCAGTGTTCCTACACGTGACATTTCAGAAAAGCAAAATCGTAACGATCCATATATCCAGAAATATATTGAATGCAGAGCCATGTTGAGGCATTGGGGGCACAAAAATAAATGAGACGTGGTCCTCACTCAAGCAGAACGCACCGGCTTAGTGAGTCTAACCCTCAGAGCCATGACTTTAATTTGAATTTTGCGGTGCCTTCGGGACTGTTTAGCAACCGGTCTTTCAGTCCCGCCTCTGCATTTTCAACCCCCGTCCACTTCAAGAGGAGCCGGGTCTTGGAAACCAAAGGCTTGAAACGCCAGAATGAAGAGAGTGGGCTAGTAGGAACTGCCTCTCCTAAGTTGCCTGCGGGAACACTTTCCTGGCTGACTGCAGGCCCTCCTGTGATCTCTTCACGGCCCACTTTCCCAGCCGATCACCATCAAAGCCTGCACGGTGTTCCCCTTGTCCACGCTATTCCACTAGAAAGGGGGATCATAG